GACCTTTCGAATTGTAGACACTAATCGCAAGAAAATAGCCGTATAACAAGACCTCCTTTCTTTAACACCAATGTCTTTTGTTTGATGATTAATTTTTTATAAATACAAAGCTTGGATAATAGCAATTGACAGGAACATTCTATCCGCCACTTTACCGCATTCACCGTCAAATACAGACGTAATTTGTACAAAATGAAGTTTGTAAAAATGAGCGAAGAGGGCCAACTAACTTGGTCCAACTTACTTGATCCTAATACTTTTATGACATTGCGTTCTTCATATCATGAAATAGGACCATGTGTATAGTGTACCTACACTATGTAGTAATAATAGATCCAAAACACAATTTCCTATGTAAACTATTTAATTATTAATTCAACTTAGTTTTGACACTGAATAGGTGTAATCAATTTTTGACTCGAAAGGTTACTGCAGACTAAATGTACAAGGAGTGTTTATGTAACACAACATGATACAAATGTAAAATTTATTTAATATTTTAAAATGAGTTTTCAAATTTAAAAAAAAATTCAAAAAACTATAATTAAATAAAGCAGCAGAAGTATAAAGAAGTAAAATCATCGTAATGGCCTTCAAAATTATATCCGTATATTTTTTAATATACATGATTTTTAAATAATGTATAAACATAACGTCATAATATACGATTGGAAATAAAAGGCCTATAAACATTGGCTTTTAAGAAAGTTTTTTTTAAAAGTCTATGTACATAGGCCCTTTTTTATAGCCACCGTTTTATAAGTTTTAGGACTTATCTTGAGTGTCAATCAAACTTAACTGTCCAATCGGAACAGGGAAAGGACTACGCGCTTGTCCCACAAAAACACACGTGTTCTGTTACAAACGCAAATGTTAGTGAAGGCTCTCGTTTTGTGGGATCATAGCAATAATACTGAAGAGGGAGAGGGACTTAAATGGAAAGGGCCATTATAAATTTTAAAAATTATTTCGATACCAGTATGGAAGACTTCAGTAGGCCTATATTATTAAATTCTAAATAGCGCCCTCGTCACAAAACCTCCATGATTAATACATTATTACGCGATTAATAACTGTAAAGTCTGTCACGGTATAGCACCTCTGACACATTGCTCGTCTGTAAACATGTAAAATTCTCTTAAGCATCCGTTAAATCGAATATCACAGAGTAAAGTCAAAACTCCGTCATTGTATAAATCTACTAAGCCTAGAATTACGTTGTTGTCGACTCGTGACGTTTTTCGGCATTTAATAATTGCTTTTATTTATTTTATTTATTTATTTATTTTATTTAATAATTTATTGTTTACACATGAATTATAATTCTATACAGTTTGTTTTATAAATATATATATATATTATAATATATATATATTATATATATATAT